TCAGGGACGACAAGTCCAACCATTTGCTTAGTTTTACTGCTTTTATGGGTGAAGGTTCACCTGTTTTTGCTGAATTCATGGCAGCAATCTTCGCCATTGAGAATGCCAAAGAGTTAAGGTGGTTGAAATTTTGGTTGGAAACTAATTGTATCCGTGTTGCGAATGTGTTTTCGAATAATAATTTAGTGTCGTGGAAGATCAAATCTCGTTGGCTTACGCGTTGGGCGTATACTCTTAATATCGACTTCATGATTACTCATATTTTCAAAGCCAATTTTTGTGTGGATTCCTTGGCTAACATCGACTTAAAGATCAACGCATTCACTTGTTATAATTTTGTTTATAATGTTTTTCTTTCGGGTTACTTGTTAGACAAGTATGGTACCCCTAGGATAAGAATTTGCTCTTAAGAGGTTTAGGTTTGGCCCCCTCTTGTGTTTCTTATAATCCTTTTCCTTTTGTTTTAATATTTTTTGGTTTATTAAAAAATGTATATAATTGTCACTTCAAAATTTTATTTTAAGATTGTATTATTATTATTAATATTATTTTTTGGAAACTAGAAGGGATGATAAGCATTGATAAGCATTTTTGAGAGGTGAACTTTTATTTATCCAACACAAAAGGTTGGGCTACTGTTAGTGTAAAATGCTTTAAAAACAATAAAAAAATTATATTATTAATAAATAGTTAAATATGATAAAAGTAAATAATAATATATGATTGGTTAAAGGTATAATATCCAACTTTTATGATGAATAGAGAAGTTTTTACCTTCATCATCTGTGAGATCTTAACTTGAAGTTTAGGAGAGTTATCTGGTCCTTGCACGTGGAAGAAATGCAACGGACGTTACATTCGTTAGCTAAGCTCTCCAATCCATCAATCTTCCACCGCTTTCGTGAACTTCGGCCACCTCCGGTGGTGGCCTCAGTCGGAGAAGAAGACCGGAGTCCTAACTCTGGTGGCTTCTTCATCAACATTATTTCAGCCCTAGGCGTGCCCTGTTTTGATTGGTTCATGTCCAATAAGTAAAGCCACATCACCATTATCCATATTATCCACTTTTATTTGGTTATTAATTGAATTTTAATTGAATAAATAAAACAAAAAGGCTTTTGTTGTTTGGATTGAGGGATTGGGTTTTGCGCGTTTTGGATTGGCAACCCCACGTAAGGCTAGTTAACTGGAAATTTAACTGAAATTAGTTCAAAGTAGGATTTCATTTTTGCACCCCTTGAGTTTTGCTTCACAATTTTTTATATCATTTCAATTTAATTTGTGAAATTGATATTTTCTGCTTGTGAAAAATGCACAAAAATACTTTTAGATAATTTGGTGTCTTGACTAAAATTAGGTTTTTTTTTACATTTAATTTGAATTAATTTGGAATAAATTTTGTCAATGTATGCATGTTAACTTGATAGAATTCTTGGCTTTGTGCTTGATGCTTGTTTGAACCAATCTTTGGCCAATTTTTAGGCATGTTTAGACCTCTCATTAGTGTATGTATTCATGATACTTTTATGCCTAATTGATGAATTTTTGAGGTCTTCAATTGTGTATGTTTTGAATCCTAGATGAATTGTCTATTTGCCTAAGTGATGCATATTCAATAATTGTTTTAGGCATGCATTTTGTGCAATCTGTAGGGATTTTTTGCTTAACATGATGTAGAATCCCTTGACCTACTTGGTGCATTTTTGTCTTAATTATTTGAACTTTTTTAGGTCATAGTTTGAATGCTTCTTTTTTGCTAACTAAATGGTTGATAGTTTGTAACTTTTGACCTAGTTTAGCTTTGTTTCTTATGCAATTTCTTGATGCCTTGATGAAGGTTTAGATGACATCTTTGCCAAGCTTATGTGCATGCTTAATTTACTTCTCTTTTTATGTTTAAGTCATTTTCTTGATGATATATGTTGTTATTTCAAGGCGTTGATGCATGATCCCCTTTAACCTAGTTAGGAGTTTCTTACTTGTTGATTTCTCTTTATGATTATTAGTTGTGTTTAATTAGGACTTTGTTAAGTTATTTTACATGTCTAAATGAATACTTGCTGGTTGTTTAGGTATTTGTATGCCTTGTGCTCAATGAATCATGATCATGTCCCTAAGTTGTTTATGTCTTGATTAAACTCTCACCTAGTTTGGCCTTGCTTCTTGTGCAATCTTTCAATGCTTTGATATGGCTTAAGTAACTCCTTTGTTAAGATATTTGCATGCTTGAATGATATTTTCTCTTGATGTCTTGTTCATTTTTTTGTTTCAAGTTTTCATACCCCAAATTTGTCCTACCCTTTTATTTTTGTCATCTGGCATATGCATCTCATAATCATCATGTACATTTCTTCAATTAGGTCATCTAACATTTCATGCATTCACTAACATCAAGGCTTGACACTTAGATTAATGGTCATTAGATTAGGGTTTCGTATTGGTGTTAAGGTTCTATATCTTTTGCAGGGTTTATTTCAACTGAGATACAAGGATCATGATTAGGGTTTGTCCCTCATACAAAGTTATTTGATAAATCATCGAAGGCTTAGCTACATCAAGGGATCCTCCTTCTCAACATTCTTTGGCTTCATTCATCACATGAGATGGCCTCATTGTTACTTACAACACAATCCGTTCTATAAGGCTTCATTCAAAAGACTTTGAAATTGGGCATGAAAGTTCTTAAGGATCATCTTTTGGTGCTTACAATCATCACTTGAGCTGGTGTTTATTTCCCTATTATGTGGTGATCAAGAGAGTTCTTTATAGAGTTTTGTTCATCAATGAAGACCATCATTCAAGGGATTCCATCAGAGCTTGAAATACAAGTCATCAAAGAAATTTTGGTGTATTCATGGCCAATTAGGATTTAGTTCAAAGAAGCTCTTAATTATGCAATACAAAGAGGTTGTCACTAAAAAGACCCCATCCATGGATGCAGGGTTTCATTTGATCTATCTTTGTCAAAGCAAGAAGGTAGTCAGTGGTTGGGTCTCCTTCATCTCATGATAAGGCAGTCATCACTTGGATCATAGGACATATGTTCATGATTTCATACAAAAAGATTCATTTGGATTTTTATTCACAAGCTAGGGCTTACAGATACTTGATGCAAAGCTATTCATCTGAGCACATGGGTTACTTGTGATGCAAGCTATTTTCTTAGACTTCATTCAAATGCTCCATGCCCTAGAATTAGGGTTCCTTGTGAGACATCAAGGTTTTATGGACTGAAGATCATGAGGGAATCTAGGTTTTATCGGATTAGAGAAAAGATTGTTTGAGATGTAAGGCCTTATGAACAAGATGCTTGAAGAACAAGATGCTTGAAGAACAAGATGTCCTTAAGGGTTTCATGTCAAGGGTAGGGTTGCAGAGATGTTTGACATGGTTCAAAATATGGCATGCATGCTATTTGGGTTGGAAGTTGCTATGTAAGATAGATATGATTATAAGTTGGGTTCAAGTAGCTAAAGCCCAATCTTTTGGATCAAGAGACCATGTTTAGTGATTTTGATCCTTTATCTCAAGAATACTATGGTTTCAAGGTTCCAGAGATTGAAGGAGCTTGAAGATTTAGAAGGAAGCAAAAGTCAATACATTCATATGAACTCAAAGTATACAATTCTATCTCAAGTACCATTTCAAAATCATCAATACCTCATTACATTCAAAAAAACACAAAATCAAAAGGAAATTAAAAAGGACTACGTTGAATATTTGGAATTCATCATTTGGATTCAAAAGTGCACAACGCTATATTTCCATTACAAGTATGCAAAGGCATCTCAAAATTCACATGGAATATCTACAAGTGCTTTACAAAGAAACAAGTTACATGGGAAGGTTACCAAGAAATCTAAACCTTTCATGATCCTAACATTTCTAATCCTTAACCCAATCCTAATGTCATTGGACTTCTATCTTCACGAGTCAACATGACATGAAGCATAATACAAAGCAAATGGCATACTCAAACATAAACCATGATACTTGAAGCAAGTTGTTGGAAGACCTGCAACAAAAAGCACAAAACTTGTGGTAGTACAGAAGAAAAATATTCAGATGCATAGCAAAATATGTCAACTCATTCATTACATATCCGTTTCAAGTAGCATACATCAGTCCAGTTTCAAAAACAACACAAAAAGTCCAGTTCAGACTTCAGACATAGATAATAAATCCACTTCTCAAGTGGTTCACTTAAATCAAACCTAAACCAAGTTAAACAAAAAGCGAACAAAACCAAAACATTTTTTATCTAAACCACTGTGTTACAGCCCCTGCAAAAAAATCCAAAACAGAGGCAATAGCAAAGGAAATTGACATAAACCAAGTATGACCAGTTCAAAAATTTCCACAACAATCACAAAGCAGGTCATAAATCGAAAAGGATAAGCAATACAGTTCTCACAACCATTAAACAAGTTATGCAGAAAAACATCGGTTCATAAAACCAGCCTTGCTTTCACACTCATCATAATACACTAAACCAGTTTATCAATATGCTGTGTTGAAAAATCAGAAACAATCCAAAACCAGATCAGGTAAAACATTTCATATAAACCGGTTAGCACCTTAAGTATACATATCCAAACTTACAACCTAATTGCTACTAACTGCTACTTTAACAGAAAGTTCAATTTTAGAGTTAACTCAATCCTACTATACATTAACCCTAACTATGCCATAACAGAAAAATGGAGAAACAGAATAAGACAGCTCAGCATAACTAACCTTCAATCTGATTAACGGTCCACCCTCCATCTCATAACTACATGATCCAAGGGTTGTGATTGCATCTTTTGTAACAAACTCTCTTGCGTCAAGCTTCATCATATAACATTGCAACCGTATCCCTGCATCTTCTTCATCTTTCATCATCATCATCATCATCATCATCACCATCATCATCATCATCATCACCATCATCATCATCATCATCATCAACACTTCTCTTCTTCAATCTTCACCGTGTGAAGATCAACGCAGCTCCATTCTCACGACTCTGCATGATGAATGATGAAGCGAAGCGGGTGAGAGACGGAGTTGTCACCACGGCGGAAATCGATCGGAGATGAGTGTGAAGCCGCATCGCTGTTCAGTTGAGTGTAGAGGAGAAGAAGACTTCGTGTTTCCAATAGAAGTTGAACCATCACAACTTGAACCCTTAAGCCCACGATGCTTTTTTTTCTTGACATGTTAACAATGCAAACAAAAACTTCTAGATAATCCCCCTCGGCCTGGCACATGAATTTTCTGGACCACACACTTTGATTTTCAACTCTACACCCTCACTTAATTCTTCTTTTGTATATTGTCCTATTTTCTTTTTAGTTAGAATTTTGTTAATAAAAAAAAGTAAAAAAAATTAGATTCAGGTGATCTTTTTAGGAATTAATTTGGATATTTCCTTTCCCTTTTCCAAGTCTTTTTTTATTTAAATTTTAATTATTAGTTTTGTTCACTTTCATAACATGTGCTTGTTTGCAATTTAGTGTATTATTTTATCTTGATATTTGTTGCTTGTCTTACTCTCGGATCTTTTCCCTTTGTCTTGAATTTTGTGTGAAGTTGGGCCACATCCCTTTAATAAACCTTTACACTTTGATTTTGTTTGCTCCAATTTTGTCATATTTTATGGTGAATAAGGAGTCACTCAATTTTGCACCCTAGCCGAGATCACAACATCGTTCTTCTTGTTTCCTTGATGCTTGTTACTTGTGTTTGTATGCTTTCACATGTTTCTTTAGGATTTTTAATTCAATTTTAATCCTTTGATTAAATTGAATTAATTAGACTTTAGGCTTCAAAGTCGAGCATGACAATAATTAATTAGAATTTCCCTTGATCCCAACCTTCGTTTCATGGTGCATAACAATATTATAATTAGTTTCCCTTAGTCTTTTTCTTCTTTTTCATCCATATAAAACAAAAACTCATTTTCTTAATAAAAAAACCCAAAACACCTAATAATAGTGATACATATAATACGCCATGAGCCTTAACTACATGAAGAGGACTTCGAATCTGAGGCATCTGACTCGACCATCCAAGGGTCTTTATGTCATAGACTTTAGTATAATACGTATCTCAAACAATTTCAAAACTTAAAGGAGATGGATTCAAGTACCCCCTTGTTGTACCCCGATTTTTTCCCCTAAGATCGCTTCATCATACCATCTTGATTCACTCACAACAAGATCACACCAGGATTCTTGGTTCCACTCCCTACTTTGAGCTTTGCTCCTTTTGGGAAATTACCAAGCACCTTGACTTATGTTCCTTTTGTGATCATTAATATTATTTTGTTTTCTTCATTTAACTAATAAAGTGCAATGTTGGCTTGTCTTGCTTGTTATCCATGTAGGTAAGGGCAGTGAGATTTAACAAGTTACTCCATGGGTTCATGAGTTTATTTCCATGTCCTAGTCAATAAAGCTTGAGAAGTTCAAACCTTATCATTGAAGTTGTTTTGGAAGAAATGGTATGGCAAGGTTTATTTTGGTTCACCACATTTCAAAGTTATCAAGATTTATTCAAAAGTACAAGGGGTTGATTGGAGAAGCTATTATGTTTGGACAAGGCCTTGTTCATATTGGTCACAAGGGCATAGTTCTCTCAAATTTAAAGATATGGAAGTGGTTTTGGTGGCTAAGAGTTCTCATTATCATACTCAACAACTTTTATTCACAAAGCAAGAATATTGGTACAAGAAGTTTGTTCAAACTTATCAAAGTTCCTCAAGGCATTTTCTTGATCTAGAAGCTAGGGTTTTGAACTTCAAAGGAGTATATCTTGCTCATATTTTGGTATTTTTTAATGATTCAAAAGACATCCTTCTCTTCAAAGGGTTATAAATAAATCACTTCAAAAGTTCCAAGGATTTTTCATGTGGAAGAAACTTGATGAAGAAGACAGATTACAAGTCCTTTAGATGAATCCCCAATTTTCCATGTGTGACTTTAAGTGATCATAACTTGGTCAATTTTTATCTCCTTGATCCCATTATTTTTCCATAATGATCTTGAATATGTGAAATTTATGCCTATTTTATGTGCAAAGTGGGAAAATGGATGGAGGTTGCCTTAAATATGCAAAAGATTATAGGTCATTTCATGATTTTTGGTCAACTTCAACAAGTCATAACTTGCTCAATTTTTGGATATTTTGAGTGGTTCAAGTTTCAAAATGTCATTCAAGAGATCTATTTCATTCCATCTTTTTTGGTCAAGAGAAAATTTCAAGTGGAAGGCCATGTTTGGATACAAAAGATTATAGGTCATTTTTAAAGAAGAATTTGAAATATTTCTAAGTATCGAAAGTCAACCCTTTTTCTTCAACTTTGACTCAATGCAACTTTCATCTCAAGCATCCATTTGATTCCATTATTTTTCCATTTCAAAGCTTGTAACCTCGTCTTTCTAAAGCATCAATAATCATGCCCTAAGACCCCTTGAGTTGGAAATGCCATGGATTTGAATTTGGTAACTTGAAACGGAATTTTCCACAAAGTCAGAATTTTGAAATCTATAATGTGACTTCTAAACACAAGATTTATGCATGTTTTTGATTTAAACTTGATTAGCAAACTTGCCAGAAGTGATTAGCATCCCAAAACGCAATATTTGGTTGAGTTTTGATGGAAATGAAGTCACACTTCACTCGTACTCGACCTTCATTCAATTTCCCTCCAAACTTCCTTGTTTCTTCCAATTTTCATTTCCATTCACTTCCCTATAAATAGAGGGTCATCCTCCATTCATTTCTTCAAGCTTTGAGAGCCAAGAACCCGCTTACCTTGAATCTTTCCCCCTCTTTTTTGGGTTATTCGCTCTTTTCCCATTCCTTTGGAAACAATAAAGTGCGGGTGGCGATTTTTATTTTGATTTGTATAAAGTCTAGTCAATCCAATGGCTTAGTCTTGAACATTTCTACTGCTATAGAAAAATGGCGACTTCACTGGGGAAAGATTGATCTCTTGTTGGTCCATCCCTAAGTGGGTTAAGCTTATCTTTGTTTATATCTGTATATGTGCTATTGTTGTTTATGTGTTATATGTTATATATATGTTTTGTCTGGATTTTCCTGGTTTTCAGGGTGCTTGGTGGTTACTCATAAGTCCTATACCCGGACTTGGGAAAACTTTAAGATAGGATGGGCGATATAGTAATGTTAACTTTGAGGGAGTAATCCCAAAAAAGGAGGCATGAGATCCCCCACCTAGTGGAGGCCCCTTTGATTGTAGTGTCGTTTACCGAGTAATCGGGAAAACGTATTGCTTTCGACCTGGGAGCCTGCTGAAACTGAGGATCGTAGAATACCAAACCCATCTTGGCCTTTTAGGTGTAGTGCGGAAGCTATGACAGAGTAATCTGGAAATAGTTGTCACGCGATACTACACTCGGACGAGTCTTTCTTGAGAATATTACTAATTATCGAGTTAATCTGGAAGTTGGTAATATCCGAAGGAAGGATGTAGACTCTAGGAACCTCTAGAACCTTGTTCGACAGGTGATAACTTTAGACCAATACCTTATGGGTAGTACCTTCGACCTCATGCTTGTAACGTTGAGCTTATGAACCCTATATGTGTGATCTTGTGTGTGATTGTTGCATCATGCATCCATGCACTCATAAGCATCTTTTGAAGAAACCATATTTCAAGGGATTTAAAGGTTGACTATTTGTAAATATCTCAGGTACTTTTTAACCATGGATTATGGAAAGAGAAAGACCGGGAAGTACAATTTCAAGGATCCCAAGATAGATGAGTTGATCAGTCTAATTCCCGAGATCGAGTGTTCTGCAGACTTTCGAAAGAAGTATGGATCCATTATCCCTCTCATGAAGCTGAAGATGAAGGAGGGTTTTCTCTCGATAATGGTCCAGTTCTATGATCCGGTGTATCATTGCTTTACTTTTCCCGGCTATCAGTTGATGCCTACACTGGAGGAGTATTCTTATCTATTGGATTTACCTGTTACCGATCGTGTTCCTTTTACTGGTTTAGAGGGTGAGCCAAAACCACATGAGATTACTGCTTTGATTCACTTGGGGAAGTCTGAGGTGGAAGCCCATATGACTACTAAAGGAGGGATTAAAGGATTACTAGCTCAGTTCTTATTGGAGAAAGCTCATTACTTTGCCAGAATGAAGAGTACAGTTGCTTTTGAGGCCATCTTTACTCTACTTGCTTAACGGGTTGTTCTTATTTCCTAATGTGGACAAGTTTGTCGACATTAACGCTATCAGGATTTTCATGATTGGAAACCCAGTTCCTACACTGTTGGGTGATGCTTATTACTCTATTCATCTTCTGAATTCTTATCACGGGGGGATGATTATATGGTGCACGCCTTTGTTATACCAGTGGTTTATCTCTCACATGCCTCAGTCTGATGCTTTTTGGGATGTCAAGAAGGAACCCCGTTGGGCTCCTAAGATCATGGCACTTACTCACTCAGATATTGATTGGTATCATCGAGCCTATCAGGATATAGAGATTATTGACAGTTGTGGTAGTTTCCCCAATGTACCTCTTCTTGGTATAAAGGGATGAATTCACTATAACCCTGTTCTTGCACGGCGACAGCTTGGTTATCCGATGAGGGATAAGCCAAATAGTATTCATTTGAGTAGTTTCTTTGTGAAGGAAGGGGAAGACCATAAAGAAGCTAGGGAGAAGATTGCGAAGGCCTGGAGTCACATTCATAAGAAGGTTAGGAAGGATTTGGGACCTAGGAGTGTTATTTCTTTGGAGCCATATCTTCAGTGGATCCGATCAAGAGTCATTCAGTTGAAGATGTTGTATACCCGGGAGACACCTATGCCTGATCTGTTTGTGAATACCAGTTCTCCCTTATTAGATGATTTGGAAGAGCTTCAACTTGATTTGGTTAGGATGCAACAGGAAAGGGATGCTTGGAAGAATAAATTCCAGACTTTAGAGAGTTCCTACAGAGCAGACCTGAAGGAGAAAGACGACTTGATAGAGATCCTTGAGAGTCGGGCGGTAGAGTCTATGGAGAGGCAATGGGATTTATTTTCTCCTAAGCCTCAATTAGGTGCTGATCACTTACTTCCTGATTCAGATGATTGGAAAGAGATTGCCATCAGACATGCAGAAGAAAACCATAGATTGAAGGCTCAGATTGCCACGCTCAAGGGGAAGCGCCAACGTATAGAGTGATCTCCATAA